AGTGACTGTTTCTAAATTGTTTGCTCTGCTATTTCCATCTGCGCGTGCCCTGTGTTCCGATGTACAGTAACCAAACCAATCGTTATCGTTGGCCGCCGTGACCTCAGCCGCGCCTGTCTAGGGGAGAGCGTGAGTTTTGCTGCCCACACAGAACAATCGGGCCACGGTCAGAAGGTCCCGGCAGACCAAGCAACCATGAATCACCGCAAAGCTCAACTGTCGCTTGCAATCGAACACTGGTTGTATTAGAAAAGGTGTGTTGGCGCGAGCACAGCTCGGCGCGTACAAAGCGAAACCCTATATAGAAGCTGAATTCGACGGAAAAGGCAAAACAGAAGAGAGGGCTATATGGAGAGCCATAACCATGGACACGGGAAGGAGGATGTGCGGGAAGAAGCGGTCCTTGATGGGCGTCGATATGGATGAAGAGTGGCAGGGTCCATTTGCGTGCGCATGAGTGCCGTTGATGAGGGATGTGAGTGCGACGGTGAGCAGTCTCGTTGGATGGGACTGTGATTGCGAATGGGATTGAAGAGCTCGATTCGTGACGAGAAGTGCGACAGGTTGGATCGGGGGATGGCAACGCCTTGAGAGCGACGCGTACGGTTTGCTTGTGCCCGCGCTTCTTACTTGTGGAGACGGAAAGGACCGAAGAGGTCGGTGTTGAAGGGGTTGGGCTTGCCAGAGTAGTACATCTGCAGACCGTGAATACGACCCTCGTCGAGACCTCCGCTTGGGGAGAGCTTCTTGAAGGCGCTCTTGGTCAGGTCGATGGCGTCGGTGGGGCAGCCAGCGCAGTAGTCAACAACACGGACTGTTGCGGAAAGAGTCAACCGTGTTTGTAATCAGCGATGGGTGCGAAAGGATGTTTTACATGACGGTGACCTCTATGCTCACCCTTCAGGCACTTGTTGCCAGAGTTCTTGTTGCAGAGCTGAACAAATTCTCCGCACTTGGGGCCGCCGCTAGAGTGCCAAGTGGCCATGACGGCACCAATGTGGGACTGAATGAGGACCGCCAAGACGACGAGCATGATCGGTAATGAGTTTGGGATTTTCGGACCGTTCGGACCGTGTCAACAGTGCGCTTCACTTACGCTAGGAGTAGGGTTCCAAGAGCCGTTGCCGCAAGCGGGGTTCTTGAGGTCGTTCTTGGAGTACCAGGTGATCTGGACACTGCTAGAGAGACGCTTGGCACCAGTGTCGGGAGCAGCAGTGGTGTAGTGCTTCTTTCCCTTTCTCTTTCCAGCCCTGTGGTGGTTCTTCTTGTGGTGCTTCTTGGGCGAACGAGACTCTGGTTGAGCGTTTTGCTCCTCGGCAGTCTCGCTCTGCTTGTTGTGCACCTTCTTCTCGACGTAGGTCTTCTCGGCCTCATCCTCCTCGTCGCCATCCTCGTCAGCACCGTCGTTGATGATGGAGAAGACGTTGCCAAATTCGTCGACCTCGTTCTTGACGGCAGAGACCAGATCAGTGGCTTCGGGCTTGGCCTCCTCGGCTTGAGAGAGAGAGGCGAGTGCGAAGGCGGCAACGACGGCCACGAAAGTGAGACGGAGTTGCATCTTGAGAAGAGTGACGTGTGGTGAAAAGTGACGACGTGGAGTGGTCAAAAAGAGTCGATGGAGGTGATTGTTTCAGTGTTTGTACAGCGAAGATGAAGTTGAGAAGACGACGGTGAAGTTGGTCGTTTCGTGAAGGAGTGTGGTGTTCGATCGATCTAGCGAGTGTGTGGAGTGCTTGGAGCGGGAGTGGTTGCGATTCAAGAAGAACAATGTGGTGATGGAGAGGATGGAGAGAGCGTGCATGCGAGCGACCCACAAGAGGAGCGAGCCAGTTTGGCTGGACAATAAAAGGCGTGCTGTCACAAAGGGGGGGGGACCGGCGCTTGAACAGTGATTGGTGGTGAACGCCGGCTGGTATGGATGCTCGCGCCTGCGCCTGCGCCTGCCAGTCCTGCATGCAGGCTGTGCGTAACCGTTGGATGCGAGCCGCAGGGAAGGGAGGGCGTCGATGCGGCGGCTACGGTAAGTTGGGCAGTGGGCAGTGGGAAGCGGGACGCGTGTGCCTGCTCTGCTGCCGGTGCTGCTGCTGCGTCGATCCCGCAAGTGGGATGTTGCCCTCATGCAACCCAAATGCCATTCCGCCTCGTCTCACGCACTACCGGCGTTTGGCATGCGTGCGGCGTGGCGTCAGCAACAGTGTGACGCGAGTGTTTTGCATGTGGTGTCAAATTTGGAACACGCGCATGCGCTTATAGGGGGAACGAGCGCAGCTACTA